CGTCTTCCAAAAGAATCATGGAAGCACACTGTTTAGTAATTTAGAAAACGTTATTGTTTATCACTATTTGCTGATTCAAGAAATCTTTTAACAATTTCACCACCTAAAATTGAAGATGCTTATCGACTTTTATCAGAAGTTCTTTTTTGATCATACAATCAGATATATTTTGTATTCGAATAGAAATTAATTAGTTCAAGATAACGATCGACGTTTACCTCGAAAAAGATGTCAAATATAATATCGTTCTTTAAAAGATTTTAAAAGAGTTTTTACGTGAATCTATTGGTGAATTATAAATTCAAATTGATTTATTTACGTTTGTGAGTACTGGTTTACAGAAATTACTTTAAAAGATATTTAAAATAAAGAAAATACATTCATTAATGTTGATAATTTATTTGTGGCTGCTGATGGTCTCAAAATGCTGTACGACTCGAATGCTTTGTCTCTATGTTAAATTAGCTAACTGTGATCCTCATTTAAATGATAAAAAAAATGAAAGCATACAATTAAAAGAAAGAATAATACACCTACACTCAAATACCATGAAACATGTGATTTGTAAGTTATTTATTTATTTTGAATGAATAAAAAATTTTTTATTCTATTTGACAATGAAGAAGAACCTGATTATTATGAGTTTAATATAACAGCAGAAGATTATTGATTTATGCGCGAAGATCATATAAATGGATTAAATGTGATAAGATCAACACGAGTTTATGAAAAAGGCTCATGGTCCGCAAGGAGTCCACTTTGTTTCTCTTACTAATTTTGATAATACAGGTTTAACCATATCAAGAATACCATCACATACAACAAGTGTTGAATCAGTAAAAGAACTTGTTGCATCTAAATGGACAAGAAAATATAAAGATGTATGATCTAGATTTTCTCTTCCATAAAACAAACTGATTTTTTTTTTCTTGTTGTTTTTAATTCTTAAATTTCGCATATTCTTTTTTTGAATAATATTATTAACAAAGAATAAGCTTTGGATGAAATAACCTACGGATATTTGATTTAAGATAATTTAGAAAATTTTGTTTTTTTTTAAATTGACTTCTAAGGTGTTCAAATAATTTATTAACAATTATGACATCTTATTAAAATTTCAGAGTACAAATGACATAAAGATTTTAGTTTCTCAATTTTAAGATATAGATGAGTAAAAAGAAAAAGATATGATCTTTGTTGTTCATAGAGTAACAAATTTTCTTTCTCTGTGTCGAGCTACGGGTTTATTTATATCTGCGATTGATTTCCGAACAAATACTCGATGCAGAATACTGACTTTGTTAACAAGAATAATTGTTACAGAAAGATTATCGATAACATGATTAATTATTTTTCATATCAAACAAGGATTCCGACTATCATTTACATGCGTTTTACATTTCATTGATATTCTTAATAATGTTGATGTTGTGTTATGATCTTTAATGATAAAACTAATGATTTACCATTGTTATTGTGTTGTTCAATACAACGTCTAATTACATTTCTTTCTTAGCTAAAGGTATTTTGTTCTATCAATCGCCTATAATATCCTTCTTTTCTTAATAACAATCTTTTTTAAATGTATCAGATAAGATTAGCTGTTTATGCTCATTTCTTCATTCGCGCAGCGATCCCTTAAAAAAATGTATATCATCTCATCATCTACACTTTAAAGAAATTCCGATTTTAAGATTGACTTTGACTGTTACTCTCTTCTTCTTCCTCGGAAGAGCTATCGGTTGTTATTATTATTGCTCACATGGTTCGTGTCAACATAGTCGACGTCTGTATGGAGAGTGTTTCTTCGACTGTTGTGCAAGAGAAAAGACGAAACATACTTCATTCGAGAGTAAATTTAAGTAAACACATACAACGTTATTTCGTTTCATAGTTAAAAGAAAAATAAAAAGAAGAATACAATCAAGACTTTATTGTTTCACGTAGCTTTCTCTCATTCTAATGGCTACCAGCAAAAATCAATCGACTAAAATATCTAGTTCATCAAAATCTGTCGAGCAGTCTATGAATTCTAATTTAGAATCATTTACATGTTTATGGCTAGATCAAAATGTGAATTTAACACAAGATAATCTTCAAACACAGAAAGAACTTCGTCAAGTGATCAATCATCTTCGAACAATTGATAATATCGATGAATGTGAACAATACATTCGAAACATTACAAAAGAAAAAGTTGTTCTCATTGTATCAGGTTCATTAGGTCGACAAATCGTACCTCGACTCCATGATCTTCCACAGTTTTCTGCATGTTATGTCTTTTGTCAAGATCAAAAAGCAAATGAACAATGGGCTAACAAATATCACAAAGTTAAAAACTTTATAACGATTGAATTCTTATTATTTTTTTTCTCATCTAAATATTTCAGATCAATGGTGTTTTTGTTGAACGTGGTAAACTTGTTGCTAAAATATCG